ACCCCCTTCTTTTTGAACAATCATCTTCCCGAGAGACAGCACAGCAGCAACTAGCATGTCATGACAAGCAGCCCATATTCAGAAGACCACAATGACCGGCACTCCTGCACATTCTTAATGAGAGAGCAGATGACCCTTTCATACCAGAAAGGGGAAAGGGAAAAGGGGTAGACCCCTGCACCTTTTTACCTGGCTTTCTGCAGTAACAAATGGTAAGCCGAGGCTCCTCCTGTAAGGACTTCTAAGAGGACTTCTTTCCTTGTTCCCTTACTTGCTGCCATGATAATTCAAGACCTAAAACCTCTTCATGTAAATAAGTTGAAGGGCTCTGCTAGTTGGAAGAGATGGGACAGAACTCCCCACACTCTTTCCCTCTGGTTTGCTCTAAAGATAAACCCCTGCATTCTTTCATTAGGATAACTCCAGTCAGAAGGCTCCTTGTAGGATGGTATAAGACACATACTCCAACAGGACAGCAGGCTCTCCCTGCACTTTCTTCCCTGACTTGTTCCAGCTGTCTCACTGAACAAAGACCTCCTGGACCCACTCTTTTTTAAAAAATGTATTTAGTACAGGGTCTATAGGGTCTACAGGGTCTTACTATGCAGATTGGACTTGTAGTGATTCTGTTTTCAGCCTACCAAGCACTGGAGTTACAGGCATATGCCACCACACCCAGTCTCAATTGCCATCTCAGGGGCCCTGGGGGGGGGGGGGCAGGGCCAACACAGCAGGCACTGTGCTCTGCCTAACCAGGTGCTTTAGTTCACTGAGCTGTCTGGCCGGCCCTCACCAACTCTTGGAAATAGCTTCTGCATGTTTTTTTTTTTTGTTTGTTTTTGTTTTTGTTTTTTTTCAGTACCAAGGATTGAATTTGTGACCTTGTGCTTGCCAGGCAGGCTTGAGCCTGTAAGGGTTTAATCTTACAGTTTTTTTTTTCCTGCTGAAAAAAAAACTTGCAGGAAAAAAAAAACTGTAAGATTAAACCCTGTAATTACCCTCCCCTCTGCCCCTTCTGCATGCATTAAGCATCCCAACTTTTACAGCCTTCACTGAAGAGACTGGATCCTAAATCATCGAACTCTTGGAACTGATGGAGCACTGTACTCCTGAGGTTCCTAGACCACCAAGAACAAGAAGATGATATTTAAACTTGAAAGCATATAGCAGCTATCTCTTTAGGTTTGAAGTGGGCAGTCTGATCAAGAGTACATGCATCTGCCTCAGAACCTTTCCTTAGGACAGGCAGGACAAGTCAGAGATAAACTCCGGCTCTCTGCTCTGAAAGAAAAGCAGTGAACACCCTAGACTCTGAAGGTTGCTCTCATGGTACTAGCCACCATTTCACTTCTCTTAAGGCAACAGCACAACTGGACGCTAATTTCCTGGTTATCAATAAGAGCAAAGCAACTTGGAAAAGAATAGGAGGATTAGAGGCAACTGAACTCAGGATCTTCTGCTTGTCAGGTAGGTGTTGTGCTGCTAAGTTATATCCCTTGTCTAGATCTGCCTATTAAAAAGAAGCTAAAAAGCATCCATCAAGCTGAAGGAAAAGGTCACAAATAGCAACATAAAAATATAAAACTCAGTGGTAAAATTAAGCATATAATCATACTCAGAAGAACTTTCATTCTATAACACAGCATAAAAATCAATTTTATCTGTAGTACAGAAAACAAAATTACTAAAAAAAAATGAAGGGGGAAATTACTTAGAAGCATTATTAACTGTTAATGGACACAGATATAAAAGATACAAAATGGGTCATTAAAACCAGATTGTGGAGGTAGGAACAGAGGTGTATGGCTATAAGCCCAGCT